TGTTGTATCTCCTTCTGACATCATCAAATGTCATTTAGCAGGGCTGGCCTGTCTCCCTTTGGGAGCAGAGGGACTGGTCAGAGGCTCAGGTTGGAAAGGGCTGTCTCACTCCGTCCATTAATAAGAAAATAGATTCCATGTTGCCTGGCAGTCTAGCAAAGTCCTTTGATAAGGACCTGTCTCATTTGAATACCTTGAGTTAATCATAGCTTTCTGGTTTCTAAGTTCAGGAGGCATGAATAAATGAAGTGTAGGACACTGTTTAGGGCAGGGAGGAATGTTAGAGCAAACAAAGGAGAGGGTTAGTTATTTTCACTTTAATTATGCTCATTTTAAAAAATTTCCCTCAAATTTCTGCTTGTCAGTCTTGCTTTAAAATGTATTGCCTTTCTGCATAAAGGGGAAGAGGCTTGAATTCCACTAGACAGTATCTTCTTTTGTTTTTTCTAACTGTTTTCTCTTTTTTAATAGATTGATTAGGTAAAAAGCTCTGGGCAAGGAATTAGGGGAACTGGCTCTACTCCTGTTTAAAGTGATTTTGCTTTGTTTCCACCCCTATTTTTTCAGCTGAGTGTGGAAAGTGGGACAGCATACATGCTAGGCAAATGCTCTACCATTCAGCTTCACTCTTGTCCCTCAACTGTTAATTTTGTGCCATTTTTTTAAAACCTCTCCTGGCTTCAGTTTCTTCTTTAAAGTGATGCTAATGAATTAAATGAAATGGAAGAACCATCTAGAAGATTTTATGAAAATAACTTGTCTCATTAGGCTACAGCAATCCCAATTTATGGGACATAAACACAGATCACAGAATGACACACATTTGAATTCATTTGGAAACTGTGTACACAGAATGTGTAGATTGTGAAGGGAACTCAGGTGTTAGTACCTCATCTAGTGATTCCCAAGTTGCAGTTGCTCATGCCCCTGCCTCATAATTTTTGACATACTTGTGTATCCCCAGAACTACTTTTTAATTACTAGTTTCTATATTGACTGAGACTTTTAAAATCCTAAGACCTTAGTGTCACCTAAGCAGCAATATCCATGAAGGAACATATTTGGTATGCTAGATATATTTCTCTTGAGCATATTAAAATTAGTGAGCTTTCATTTAGACATCACCGAAAATCAATGTCCTACTTTGAAAACCATTGCTCTGGATTCTCATTCACATGTGGGAACTTAAAGGTTAGAGAGATTAGCTATCTTTGCTGCTTATCACTCAGCAAGTTGCTATGGAGGCATAGCTAAGGGATAACTCATGTGACTTCAAAAGTCAGAAGCAGAGCTGTGGGGAAAACCTAGGTCATGTGACACCTAGGCCACACTTCTCTTTATACATCATTCTTATCTCATGGTTGTCATTAATATCTAAGATCCATGCAATTTAATGGAAAGTAATGGGAGTAGAATTCAGATCTTTCTTTATTCAATTATATATTGTAAAATTTATTTTTAATAATTTTGATATATGATAGTATCTTTTTATTATTTTTAAAATGTGTATATGTGTATTGTATTAAATTATTTCTTCCTTCCCTTTCCTGGCTTCCTCTCCTATATCTTCTCTTCCTCCTTGGTCCCTTTCAAATTCATGCTTTTTTCATTAAATATTATTATTACATATATGTATGAGTAAATATGTAAATACAACCCACTGAGTCCATGTAGTGTTCTCCATATGTATGCATTTTTAGAGCTGGCCACTTGGTATTGAATAAACAATTAGGGATCTCATCCCTGGGGAAGACTGATTCTCCCTCTCCACAATCACTAACTCTTTATAGCTTTTTTTTGTACAATTTGTTTTGATCATATTCACCCCCTGTGCACTTTTCCCAGATCCACTCCCTTCCCTACCCATCCACCTGCC